CTAGGGGTTGCATTTAGGTGGGGTCTGACTGGCACCGATCCCTTGGGAATATTAATCTGCGACGCCAGCGTAGCATCCCAGGGTTGGGGTGATGCACCGGTACCTGGGAAAACCGGGGAGAACCCAGCCCCCCCACGCCCCCGCCACATTAAGGGGCTTATAAATTTCACATGGATCATCCCAAAGCTGATTAACCGGGAATGTCGGATCCTGGTTCTTGGAGCTGAGTGCCGGGAAAATCTCCTGCCTGGCATAATTGGGCTGTTAACGAAGGTGGCCCGAGCGCTGGCCTGCCCTGACCCCGATCCCAAACAAGGCCCTGATTGTCGCTCTGGCTTAAGCAGGAGGAAGAGGAGGCGGGCGAAGGGTTTGCCAAATAGCCGGGATTTTGCTCAGCGACTGTTAATTAGGCTCCGATGCAAAAAATTCGTTAACGGCGGGGGGGCCGGGCGAGGCTGGGCTGGCCGGCGGCATCGCCGCGGCGTCCCCAAAAGCATCTCGTGCTTGTGTGCCGCCCGGGTGTCACGTGGAGCCCTCGGAGGGGACCCCGCGAGCCCAGATAAAACCCTCCCCCCCGGTCCAGAGGCAAAAAATTCCTGGAATCCCCAAACAGTATTTTTTTAAGCCTAACCCAGTATTTTTTTTTTTTTAATTATTTTTTTTTCCCCTGGCCCACGTGGATGCCATTAAAAGCAAGTTTTCGCTTCTCTCCTGCATATTCATGCTCCCAACCTTACGAGCAGCCCTCCTCTTGCTACTCCCCGGGGAGAAGTGCTGGGGGACCTCTCCGATGGCGGGGGGCATAGCCAGCACCCCAAGTTTAACCCCCCTTTTTTTGTTTTCCTTCCCCCTTTTCCGTGCAGATGACAGCTCGCCTGATGCTCGCCGTGGGAGGAGCAGTGCTGGGTTCCTTGCAATTCGGCTACAACACCGGCGTCATCAACGCCCCGCAAAAGGTGAGTGTGCGCCGAGCCACCTCCCCGTAGTAAAATTCCACCCCCCCTGTGCCTGAAAACAAACCTGCATCCGCTGCCAGCCCGGCTAAAATAGTACATCCCGCTAGGCAGCTTACTGCCTGTAATGGGATTTGCGAGGGAGTTACTTAGCTCCCGCCTTCCCAGGAGAATTAGTTTCTTCCTCGCTTAGCGTTTTTGCCGGGAAAAATCCCAGGAACGCATGCAGGATGCTCTCTGGGTGGGACCAGCGTCACTTTTAACCTCGGCTTTCGGCGAAGCTCTGGGAGCCAATTGGGGTTTGAGTCATCTCGAAGGGGAGGAAGGACCGCTCCGATGGGAGCTTTGCATCCCGGAGGAGAGGGGGTTGGGATGGAGAGCAGGAGGGGTTTGCTCCTTCCCCTAGCACAGCGCAGGACCCTCCAGCAACTGGTAGGTGCGTGGGAGCCTTGAAAAACTTGACTTGCCCTAAATTACGTGGTTTTTTGAGGTGTTAAAGGCTGGGAAGTGTTAGCTCAGAAATCCCGCGTGGCGCTCGGCTGCCGGGGTGAGGTGTCGAAGGACAAACCGGGGGCCAGCTGCTGCTGTGCGAGAGCAGAGCCTGTCCCCGCGCGTCGTCACAGCCAGCGAGCCATCCCAAATAATTAAAATCACCAAGGCAGGATTCACGCCGTGAGATTATTAATCCCATTGCCAGCAAATGGGCTGCAAAATCTTGCCTCGAGCCCCAAAAAAACTCCTTGTGGGAGAGAAGACCCCGTGCAAAAACTTCCCAGGCCCCCATCGGTGCGGCAAGAGCGATAAAGCCGCGAATTGCCTTTATTCGAGGTGTTGCGTTAAACTGTATTTAATCACGGTGAGTTGTCCCCGCGGGATTTCACGCGGCTGGAGGCTGCGACTCCCGTCCAGCACCCTCGGTGCTCACACCCACGGCGCACGCATCTGTCTGCCGAAAGCATCGCCCTGCTAAAAAATCCTGACCCGTGCTCGCCTTTCCCCGGACCGATCTGCGCCAGCGACCTTCGTGCTCGGCCGGCGGGGAGCATCCTCCTCCGGAGACGGGCAACAGGAGCGGAGTTTGAAACAGCGGCGAGCTGGGAAATCCCTGGAAACGTGCTGTGGAGCTGCTTTCTGGCATCCGCCCTGGTTTTTTCCCGAGCTCCGGCACCGCGGGGAGCAGGCACTCTGTAATTACCGCCTCGCGTCGGAGCTCGGCCCCCGCATCCCGAGGACGCGCGCCGTTTCCCTGCGGCCGAAGGACTTTTCTCCATCCTCCCCCGACCCAGGGCGATGCTGCTCCGGGTGACGTGGGCAGGGACCACGTCTGAGCTGGGGGTCTTCCCTTGGGACCGAGCTCCGCTTCCCACAGCCCCCCAGCAAAGCGAGGTCCCCCCGCGATGGGTGCTGCCTCAGTTTCCCTACGTTTTAGGGTTAACCCCTTGGGGCTCAGGCCGGGGAGTCACCCGGCGAGTGGGGATGCAGGACTAGGATGCATCGCTCCCCTGGCCTCAGCGATGCGAAGGCCGCGGCGTTTGCTGGCCGCAGCTCTTCGCGGAAAGGCTCCTTTCTCGCGCGGAGGGCTGGGCGCCGCTTTTGCGGTCATGTAGTCCTCCCCGCCGCCGAACCGGCGCCTTGGGTTTGTGGGGTGTTTGCAGACGTGATGTGTGGAGGGGCCGCCCCGAAACTGGGTGAGGGCTGGTAGAAAGCACTCGGCTGAAATGAAATGAGGGTGAGAGGGGGGGAAAAAAAAACCAAAACCAACCAACTTTTGGGAAACGCAATGTTTTTTTTTTTTTTCATGCTTCGCACTTTAAACTTGTAATTGTTCATCTGCTCTCCTCCCAACGACCCAACAGGGTGGGTTTTTCCAGCCAGCCTTTTTTGCTGGAGGAAAGGGGGGATTTGGGTGCTATTTTTTTGCTAAGCCAAAGCGCAGCCCAGCGCCCCTCAGCCAGCGCCGGGGCATCCGCTCTCGCTTGCGTTAATTTGTTTCCGCTTCAAGGGAGAGCTGGAGGCTTTGAGGAAGGTAGGGAGGAATTTGGAGCGTGGCAAGGTTTGGTGGGGTGTGTGCAGAGACCTGCTTACCCCCGCAGGGAGCCTGAGCCAGTCCTGGGTTCTCCAAATAATAATAATATCAATTATTTGTTCTGTTAGAAAAAGGGGGAAAAGCCCCCAAAGCGTCAAAACCTCCAGGCGAAGCAGGAGGCAAACAAAATCACTTAAAATCCCAATGGTTTAGGGGCTTTGTGAAAGGAACGACTTTAAGGAAAAATTACATTATGGACGTTTATAGCGAAGCCCGGGGTGTATTTCTTGCGCTGCCCCTGCCGGGGGCTCTCGTTTGGGCTTGACGCGATGGGAAAACTAGGAAACGAAGCAGTATTGTGCCGACGCTTCGTCGGGAGCTGAGCGCCTGCGAAAGCCTTCGAAGCGGCGAGGCCTGTGGGCCGCTTGACGTCCGGCGGCAGCTTCCCCTGCTTGCACGAGACCTCTGCTCCTTCCAGCCAGGGTTGGTGGGCGTGTTATCGAGCCCTTCGCTGTTTTGTTTTGGGTAGGGGCGACCCTTGGATAACTTACTGGAAGCTTTTGGCAGCGGGCTGGCTTTAAAAATATATATTAAAAAAAAAAAAATCTGAAATATATAGAAAAGGGTGTTCTGCGAAGACGGTAATTAAAGCCAAGCGCCTGTCTTGGATGTTAGCGTTGCAGAAGCATTGCGTTATGGAAGCATTGCAGAAAAAACCCTAGAAATTAAATTCAAGAGAGTGTCCAAGGGATGGGAGTCGCTCAGCTGCCCCCATGGCCCTGCTGTCTTCCTCACCTTCCTCCACCATCTCTGCCATCTCCCCCCACCATGTTGCTTCTCCTCCGGCGATGGAGGCATCCCAGAGCGTGACCTCCCCGCGCCCGCCCGGTGAGGTGAAAGAGGTATTTTGGCAACGCCGAGCTTCTCTCTCGGCAGAGTGAGACCAGAACCTGTCCGGCTGCATTTCCCCCGCGCATCCCAGCAGGTTTCCTCCCTTGGGTTGGAGCCGAGCCACCGGCTGGGCGGCTCCCGGCTCCGTGACGCATTGTCTTGTGAGCCGCGCTCACCGGCCAAGGGTCTGTAGGTGGTGAGGCTGAGGCCGGGCAACTCGTAACACCGGTGGCACAGACGAAACGGGGATGGCTTTAACCCGCGGCTTCGTTCCTCCCCGCTCTTTTGCAGGTGATTGAGGATTTCTACAACCGTACCTGGCTGTACCGATATGAGGAGCCCATCAGCCCTGCCACCCTCACCACGCTCTGGTCCCTCTCCGTCGCCATCTTCTCCGTCGGAGGCATGATCGGATCCTTCTCCGTGGGGCTCTTCGTCAATCGCTTCGGACGGTGAGCGCCGAGCGTGGTGGGTGGGCCTCGCCAGGGGGGTTGTGCAGCCTCCCCCCGCCCCGGCATCCCATGGGGGTGGCTTTGGGCACCTCCCTCCTGCCACGAGCCGACGTTTGGCTTCTCCCGATGCCCCTTCAGCCTCTCTGACCCCCCTCATCCTCACCGCCCTCCTCCCTTCCCTCCCCAGGCGCAACTCCATGCTGATGTCCAACGTTCTCGCCTTCCTGTCCGCCGTCCTCATGGGCTTCTCCAAGATGGCTTTGTCCTTCGAGATGCTCATCCTCGGCCGCTTCATCATCGGCCTCTACTCCGGCCTCACCACCGGTTTCGTGCCCATGTACGTGGGCGAGGTGTCGCCCACCGCGCTGCGGGGCGCGCTGGGGACCTTCCACCAGCTTGGCATCGTCTTGGGCATCCTCATCGCGCAAGTAAGTGCCGGAGAACCGGCTTGGGTGGGCGGGGGGGTTCCCCGTCTGCGGTGCTGATGCTCATCGGGGTCTGCAGAGACGGGGTTTAGTGCAGCAGCGCAGAGCAGAGCCTTGCCCGTGCTGCGGATCCACGTGCTCCGTCCGGAGCTGGGGCTGGCGGGATGGACCTGGGGCACGGCAGGAGCGGGGCTGCTGGGAGATCTTAAGGTTTGGGACGGGCAGCATCGTGACGTGATGTCCCTTGGCCACCTGGAAGCAACGGAGCCGTCCGCGGCCCTCCGATGGGTGCCCGAGCCTGCAGCGCACCCACGAGCAGCAGAGTTGGGCCCACGTCGAGCTGGGAAAGGGTGGCTCAACCCCTCTTGTCCACAGGTCTTCGGTTTGGACTTGATCATGGGAAACGACTCGCTCTGGCCGCTGCTCCTGGGCTTCATCTTCGTCCCCGCCCTGCTGCAGTGCATCATCCTGCCCTTCGCCCCCGAGAGCCCCCGCTTCCTCCTCATCAACCGCAACGAGGAGAACAAAGCCAAGAGCGGTGAGTGACCCCCGTCCCTGAGCTCGTCCCGCCGCGCCGGAGGGTCCTCGCCTGCTCCTGACCCCGCCTCTTCCCCGTAGTCCTCAAGAAGCTGCGGGGCACCACGGACGTCAGCAGCGACCTCCAGGAGATGAAGGAGGAGAGCCGGCAGATGATGAGGGAGAAGAAGGTCACCATCATGGAGCTCTTCCGTTCCCCCATGTATCGCCAGCCCATCCTCATCGCGATCATCCTGCAGCTGTCCCAGCAGCTCTCAGGGATCAACGCGGTGAGTTTTGGGGAGACCGGGTGCCGCGGGCTCAGCTCGTTTCCCCCAAAACTTGGGTCGCGCTGGCTGCGAATCAGCGTCCCGTGGTGGCTTGCTGACCTGACGTCCCTGCGCTTTGTAGGTCTTCTACTACTCCACCAGCATCTTTGAGAAGTCGGGGGTGGAGCAGCCCGTCTACGCCACCATCGGCTCCGGCGTGGTGAATACGGCTTTCACGGTCGTTTCGGTGAGTCGTGGCCCACCGAGCTCTCCCCAGGGAAGCTGGAGGGAAGAAGGGGGCTTTGCCGGGGCCGTGCTGATGGCCGCCCCCCTCCGTCCCCCAGCTCTTCGTGGTGGAGCGAGCCGGACGCAGGACGCTGCACCTCATCGGCCTGGCGGGGATGGCGGGCTGCGCCGTGCTGATGACCATCGCCCTGACGCTGCTGGTGAGTGGTGGGCGCTGAGGGGACGGGTGGCCAGGAGCTCTGGTTGGAGAGGAGGAAGGACTTGTCCTGCTAGAGGTGACACCTGAGCGGTCCCCAGATCCCTCTTGAGATCCCAGAAATCCGCTCTCCGACCCAGAGAAACCTCGTGACTTCTCCGCCAGCACCGCGCCTGCTTGAGTCTCACCCGGGGTGGCCAAACGCTTCATCCCCCTTCGCCGAGCCGACCTCCTCTCTCTCCCTTGGCCTAGGACCAAATGCCCTGGATGTCCTACCTCAGCATCGTGGCCATCTTCGGCTTCGTGGCCTTCTTCGAGATCGGCCCCGGCCCCATCCCCTGGTTTATCGTGGCAGAACTCTTCAGCCAAGGCCCTCGGCCCGCCGCCTTCGCTGTCGCCGGGCTCTCCAACTGGACTTCCAACTTCATCGTGGGCATGGGCTTCCAGTACATCGCGGTAATCACCGCCCGGCGCTCTCGGTGGGGAGGCGGTTGGGGGTGCCGAGCCGTAGCGGGCCCCGGTTGGGTCGTCTCGCTCGCCGCGAGCCCCGCGGCCTGGCCGGAGCCGCTTTGGTGGGAAGAGGGACGGGGAAGGAGCAGGGAGCAGGACGGGGCCATCCCTTCCGCCCGGCGCCGTTCCGCCAAGTCCCTGCCCACGCCCTCACCCCCTCTTTCTTCCTCCCCAGCAACTCTGCGGCTCCTACGTCTTCATCATCTTCACGGTGCTGCTAGTCCTCTTCTTCATCTTCACCTACTTCAAGGTGCCGGAGACGAAGGGTCGGACCTTCGACGAGATCGCCTCGGGTTTCCGGCAGGGGGGAGCCAGCCAGAGCGACAAAACCCCGGATGAGTTTCACAGCTTGGGCGCCGACTCCCAGGTCTAACCCGCCCGCGGCCCCGCCCGGCCCCGCCCGCCTCCTCTCCCCAGCGCGTTGGGGTTTCTTTTTTAAACTGCTTTTGTACAGAAACACG